TTAAATTAAAACTTTGTATTCTAAATGCTAGAGCCTTAGGATTGTTTGACTTATCATCAGCATATATATATATATATATATATAGACACACACACACGTTTATATATACATGTAAGTTTATCCTACTCTCGCATGACATTTTGTATATAAATCACATAATCTTAGAGAAATGGAGAATGAAATGAGATGAGTATTTCATGAAGCAAAAAAGTTATTAATTGCATCAGAATTTCCAGATTCCCTCGACTAGGAAGACATGGTATATGAACAACTGACGAAAGCAATAAGTTGTTAGTATTATGAATAAATATTTAATTAGAAATTGGATGAAAATTAGATTTTGCTTATGCATGTAAGAGTTAAGTCCCTACATTTAAAAAAATTTAATAGGGAAGAGGTAGGATTTAAGAAATAGTGGGTGGGTAGAGGAATTTGAATCTAAAATCTGTAATTCTTGGGCCTCAACCTTATGGTCCTTATCTGCCTATTATGCATTTTGAATGATAAATTATCATATATACACTACCATCTGATCTAAAAAGGAAAAAAAAAAAAGGTTCACGTATATTGTTTAAACATAAGTAATAATATTTTATTAAATTAAAAACATTAATTTAGTAAATAAATTTTTTATCCAAATCAAAAGGAAAAGACCCAATGAAAATTTGTACCATAATATAAATGGTAATTGTGACGAGTTTCAGTTGATGAAATATTACAAGAGTTAAAATGGATTTGTGTATTAACATGAGAAATCATTTACACAACAATTGAAAAGATTCCTTAATTTTCAAAATAAGAAGAAAGAAAGAGAAGGGGAAAAGTAAAAGAAAATACTGTAATAGTAAATGTGTCTAACAAATTTTAAAAATACTTAGTGGATTTACTTAACCCCATGAATAATTAAGTTTTAATATGCGTTTAGATTTAAATGAGTCCTTCGAATCCACTGACTCAAAACTCATATTAGAATTCAATTTAAATTTTGATTTCGACTTGCTTAACGAGTTAAATTAATAATTTTGATAAAATAATAAAATAATAATATTTTGAAAATCCTATATAATCGTTTGATTCTATTCATATCATAAATTAATAATGACTTTTACTGTCCTGTCTGGGACATTCTTTATTCATTTGACGACCCAACAGTTTATATTGGTATTTGCCGTTAGTCCCTTAAGATGATAACAGCCTCTGCCAGTTACCTTCCCTCAATTGGGTCCCAAAAACACGGACAAAGATGCTCATGCTGACTTGTACTTCTAGTGGGCATTCTGCCTACGGTGGGAAGTTCATCCCACTTTCCACCGTAGAAGCAACCCAGTTTACTTATCCTTTTTCGTGTGTCAGAAATTCTTTTTCCACAATATCTAGAAGATGGCCCCGCCTCCAGCCTGGCATTTTGTCCTTTTTTTCCCCCTTTTTCAAGTCTCAGAAATTCTGGCTGCTATATAATGGACTATATATACAGTTTACTTCCCCTTTTTCGTGTGTCAGAACCTGTAGTCATCGAAGTCTTTGCCGCACCATTTCCTGCAAATGTCCCCTGCTTCCTTTCATTAAGTCATCAAATTGGCAATACGGCATGATCGAGCAGAATAGTATGATGTCGTCAAAATAATTTGTGGAAATTTGAAAAAAAAAACAATAGGAATATTAAGAATCTATAAGTAGGTTGTAAATTTTACAAATTTGTAACTGGGGCATGGGTTATTACTTACGAAGTAAAGCAACTATTTATTTTATTGTTAAATAACTAAATTCAATTCTAATTTTACCTAATAATTTTAGTAATTTTAGAGATAGCCATGAGGGCAACAAGGATTAAGGCATCGAGAAGGAAGGGTGGGGGAGGAGAAGAGAGGGGGCACTTTCTCCCCGCAACCTTAAATGGAGTGAGGGATGGGGAAGAAAACCTTGCACTCTACCTTACCAATAATTTAAATGATATATATATATATATATATATATATATATATATATATATGTGGAATATAAAATAGATAACATAATAACCTTGCACTCTTGGTCACTTGTTCTTCTTTCAACACACGGAGTGCTTTGTTCAAGCTTTTTACACAATCGACAGTTCTTGGCAAGAATTTGTAACAAAGGACAGAATGAGATGATCCAAACCTGGACCTAACTAATACTACCAAAACTAGATCCGGGGACAGGATGGATCTATAGGAGTAAATTGATCCTGTTGAGTGTGGAAACATATTCGGATCTTGGCCTTAATCTTATAATTTATAAGCTTTTACATAAAATCTTGAATTTTTATAAAAATTTTCTTACACCAGATGCATATCAATTTTTTTGTTATAAAAAAAAGTTGCATATCAGTTTCATTTACTAAAATGCATAATTGAAATTTTAATTTAGTGTACTCAAAATTAAAATTAATGAAATAAAAAATTACACAAGGTATCTAACCCAAAGGCTAATGAAGTAGGTTTTCGTGCATAGCTCTTCTTTTCTTTTTTGTTTTGGGACAAACAAAGAACATGCATTTTCCTGATGAAATTTTTTTAACAGATGAATCATGCACTTAAAAAAAAAAAAAGTTAGCCGCATCAAGTGGGATAAATTTACACCACAAAATCAATGGTACGATGATCGAAATATAATACAAACTTTTATATTTTGGCAGAGTTTTGTAGTTCTCAACTTCTTGAAGATAACTTTTTCTCATTTCAAGTTACAATGATATCACATTCAACCTTGATTTTGTAAATTTTTGTAGTTGTATATTTAGATTTCTAAGGCCAAAAAATCTTGATCACTTTTTTTTGCCCTTTCAATACATAGAGTACTCTCTTCAAGCTTTTATAGGGAAAATTGTTCAAAACATCCCTCATATTTTGTAAAATAATTTTTTTTGTCCTTTACTTTTAAAAGTGTAATTTTACGTCTCTTACAAATTCATATTGATCAAATTTGGTTCCTACCTAGGTTTCCTACTAATTTTTAGTCAGAATCCATTACGTGCCTTGCATGTGATTATTTTTTAAGGGCAAAATTGTCAAATCAAATTTTATATAATTTGACTCATAGTCCCTCACATTTCGCAAAATGAAATTTTTCGTCCCTCATATTTCACAGAATAAATTTTTTCATCCCTCGCATTTTATAAAATAAATTTTTTTATCCCTCATTGACTATGTATATGAATAGTTTTTTTTTAATCCACGTATATATCTATTTGATTTTACCTGAATAATACGAATAGCATATAACATATCTCTATTTGATTTCACCTCAACAAGTTAATTGTAATTGTCCACATGCTATTCAATAGATATATACATGGGTTTAAAACTAACAATTTTATTTTAAACCCATGAATATATTTATTTGATTCCACCATGTGAATTTGTTCAATATTTGTGGCCTTTTCTCTTTTAGTAATAATTCATTTATTGAACGATTTTTCCCTTTTTATATAATGGACATTTTTTGGCAAGAAATTCGGATATTATTATAGGTGCAAAAGTTTTGTTATCAATTATTTAGAGAAGATAAATGTTTGGACTACTAGCTTGCTAAATTCCAGAGCTTACCATGATGTTATACTTTATAATCAACGATCATGAAGATCCCCTTCTCCCTGATTAATTCAGATATACAGTTCTCTAAAAAGAACAAGAAAATTTTTGAGTTTAAAAATGTCTTCAAGGGCCAAATGAAATAGAGTAATATTAATAGGAAAAATGGAATAGTCAATTAGCAAAAATTCGTTTGACATATTAATGAGATAATGGTCAAAAGCTTGAAGATCGAAAGTGCTTTTCTGTAATAATATTTGATGTACCTAAATTAATTATACGTTTGCAAATTCGTAGAGTAATATGAAATTGGCTAGTAATAGGACCTTGTGGGTTTCCTGGATCTAAACAAAGGGCTGTAGTGGGGCTCATTCTTGGGCAGAATGAGTTGATCCAAATCGGGATCTCAAAACCACCAAAATTGGATCTACGTGCACGATGGGTGTTTAAGAGTAAATTGATATGCAAATTCATCGGACCGAATCCGGATTTATTTAGTAACATGCTTAATTAAGCCCACCAAATTGGACGACTACGTGCTTATGTGCTCTTCTTCCCCATCAAATGGGAAGGTATTGAGACACTTTTTTTTCTTATTCTGCATCCTCTTTCTCCTTTCTTAAAATAATGTATTTGAGACATAATTATCCTGACACTTTTTTTGGTTTGATACACTCAAAATTTAAAAATCGACAGAAAAGAAAAAAAAACTACCACATATTGATATTTAGGTACATTACCTATTTGAAAACTAATGAAGTGGGTTCTTCATATCACATTGATATTTCTCCACATATTGTAGTAAATATTTTATTTTTTTTGCCAATGGGAAGAATCGTAGATGAGCTTACAGTTGCGTAAATATTGATTGACTGAGGAAGATTTTTCTTTTCCTACTTACCTATTGTGCTATGAACTTTATTAAGCAACGTGCAGAGTGGTGAGTTTGATATATTCTTGAATTCTATGAGGCCTTTAATTGGACTATTTTGTCGTTTGGTATTTGTCGAATGAGACGCAATGAGTGGTGAGTAATTCGACATACACACCAATTGACCTAAAATTTATTTATCAAAAAAATTTTAAAAAGTAATTAAGATACATCATGTTGTACCCAAAAAATATAAAATTACTACTGTATACTTCATGAACATTTCATTCAGCGCAAGAAAGTTGTATTTGATAAATAGTTGAATATGAGAAAAGTCTTTTTCATCTTTAACATTGATGATGCACATATTACAAAAATAAATGCAAAAAGAAACGTTGATTAAAAGTTGAGGATACCATTATGTAGAATCCAACATTAATCGGCTAATTGTTTAGTTTCCTCACCGACTTCAAATTTGTCAAACTAAGTTTCCAATGGATTATTATGCTGCCTTTATTGAACAACGTTATTGGTAGATAACTGGAATTTTTAGAGATTCTCTCGTCACTTGATAGGTAATGGACTGCCTTGGACAATTAGCCAAGGAAATTTGGAAATGGGCACTCGACAAAGGAAAGAAGTGGTGCTATTTGCGTGGTAGTCTAAGCTCGCTCGACACGAAGTTGCAAGGATTAAGCGCAAGGAAAATTGACTTCGAGTCGCAAGTGACAAATGCAGAAAGATCAGGTACTAAGAAAAGGAAAATGGAGGTTGGGAACTGGTTTGAGGCGGTAGCAAAAGTAGAGGATGAATTCGGTGAATTGGAAACGAGCATACAAGAGGGTGGATTTCTAGAAAATGCATTTAGCGGTGGGGATAGAGTGGCGAAAATGGACAAGATTGTAGACGAATTGATGGGGAAAAGTGAGAAATTTGGTGAGCTTTGCCTTGACGATTTTGAGAGCAGAGGTGAGCCGCGAGTGAGAACAAAATTATTTGGAGAAATGTTTCACAAAGGTCTGGAAACAATCACGGCATGGTTGGACACCGATAGCATCTCAAACATTGGGATTTACGGGATGGGCGGTGTGGGTAAGACTACATTGGCGAATCACATCTATAATCATTTCCTCGAGAAAACTCAATTCACGGTTTATTGGATTACTGTCTCTCAAGAATTCAGCATCAGAAAGCTGCAAGATGACATTGCTAAACGCCTTAGGCTTGATCTGTCACATGAGAATGATGAGGATAGCAGGGCAGCCATTTTGTCCAGGGCATTGGTGGAGCAGTCTGTCCTCATACTCGATGATGTTTGGCAAGAACTTTTTTTTGAAAAGATTGGAATTCCTCTCGGTGCAAACAAATGCAGAGTGATTTTTACCACTCGCTCACGACAAGTGTGTACAGAAATGGATTGTCAAAGAGAACTTGAAGTGAAAACTTTGGATAAAAATGAATCATGGGATTTGTTCAAATCCACACTCCGTCTTAAGAAGGAGCTTCCAGCAGATGTAGAAAAGGTTGCCGAGTCCGTCACAGAAAGGTGTGGTGGTTTGCCTCTTGGTATTGTCGTAATGGCTGGGAGCATGATAGGTGTGACCGACATCGAAGAGTGGAGAAATGCATTGGTAGACTTGAATAGAGTAGAGCACGGTAAGATGGAAGAAAAGGTGTTTCGCATCCTGGAACGGAGTTTCAATCGCCTGGATAAATATGAAAGGAATTGCTTCTTGTATTGCTGTCTTTATCCGGAAGATCGGAAAATAAGAAGAGAGGGACTAATAGACCTCTTTATTGGGGCAGAGCTGATGTCAAAACGGGGCTCAAGGTCAGAAGCATTTGATGAAGGTCACACAATATTAAACAAACTGATTAGAGTTTGTTTGCTGGAAAAAACTAAAGACTGTGTGAAGATGCATGATTTGGTCAGAGATATGGCATTAAGGATCACAACGCATGGAAACTCCAAACCAGAGAGCAGCAGAGATGATGTACCACGATTCTTGGTGAAAAGCTTAGGACAGGAAGATTCAAAAGTAACAACACTGGAACAAGAAGAGTGGACAGAAGATCTCCATGCGGTTTCCTTCTATTCACAAGATTCCAAAGAAATAGAAATTCCACCAGCCTGGTCACCAAATTGTCCTAAGCTCTCAACCTTGCTTCTCTCTGATGTTTACATAGAAGAAATCCCAGATTCATTCTTTCGGCACATGTGTGGACTTAAAGTTTTGAATCTATATGGATGCTTTGGTATAACAGAGTTGCCTAATTCTGTTTCAGATATGGTGAATCTCACTGCTTTGATTTTGGGGGATTGTAGACACCTCCAATCCGTGCCACCACTGGGAAAGCTCAAGCAATTGAGGGATTTGGACCTATCCAACACTGAGATTGAGGATTTTCCTGAAGGTTGGGAGTCACTGGTCAACCTCGAAAGGCTTAACTTGAACAAGTGTTCAAGTTTAAGACGAAAGATAATAATACCAAAAGGGACATTTTTCCAATTGCACCGTCTTCAACTGCTATTATTGCCACCCTATGGTAGGGTACAAGTTAATGATCCAGAAGTGTTGAACCAGTTAGAAAGTTTTAAAGGACATTTGTCTTTTACGGACTTCTATAAAATTACTCGATGGCCAAAATACTATCATGTTTATATCACTGACATCTTACCTGAGGATCCGAGATATGAATTTGATGATTATTATGGGGACCAGGGGAAACAACTGTATTTCCATCATTGTAAGCTTGGCAGAGGATCGAACAATCTGCCAGATGATATGGAAAGTCTGGTAATCGAGGATTGTGAGGGCATAGGCATTAGGTCCTTGTCAGATGTTTTTAAGAATTTTATAAATTTAAACCACTTATCTAGATTGGATATTAAGGATTCGGTTAGAATAGAGTTCCTCTGTCAATTGTCCTCTGCTTCTCCACGCGATCAGTTGGAAGACTCGTCTTTCAGTCCACTCCGTGGTCTCCAAGTGCTAAGCCTCAAGAGGTTGCCAAATCTGGTTGGTCTTTTTTACGGAGAATCAGAACTATATTTGCTTCCAGCTGGCACCTTTTCTTCCCTTAGAGAATTGAGCATTTCTGGATGTGACAACATGAAGCAGCTATTCACGGTGCAGTTGCTGCAGAGCCTTCAAAATCTTGAAAACTTAGACGTTTTCCATTGTGGAGGACTGGAGGAGATAGCAGCAGATGGCAATGGAGTAGGGCAAGGAGAAGGAGAAGGCAGCCAATTGACTTCAAGTGAAGGAGCCACAGCCAATGTCATCATCCTTCCGAAATTGAGGCAGTTGAATCTGTATTGCCTGCCACAACTGAAGAACGTTTGCAAGGCAGCCATGATCTGCGATTCAATTGAGGATATTGTAATATTTTATTGTCCAAATTTAAAGAGGCTGCATTCGTTTCTTTCCACCATCGACGGACCACCATATTTGCTTCCAGCTGGCACCTTTTCTTCCCTCAAAAAATTGAGCATTTCTGGATATCATGACATGAAGCAGCTATTCACGGTGCAGTTGCTGCAGAGCCTTCAAAATCTTGAGGAATTAGAAGTTGAAGATTGTGAAGGACTGGAGGAGATAGTAGCAGATGGCAATGGAGTAGGACAAGGAGGAGGAGAAGGCACCCAATTGACTTCAAGTGAAGGAGCCACCACCACTGTCATCCTTCCGAAATTACGGAGGTTGATTTTGAAAAACCTGCCACAACTGAAGAGCATTTGCAAGGCAGCCATGATCTGCGATTCAATCTCTGAGATTACAGTGTTCGGTTGTCTAAATTTAAAGAGGCTACCTTTGTTTCTTTCCACCATCGACGGACCACCATCTCTTCCCAGCACTCTTCATAAAATCTGGGGAGATAAAGAATGGTGGGAATCATTAGAGTGGGACAATCCTACTGCCAAAAATGCCCTTGACCCAATTTTTTCCACACAGCGATGGGGTAATTGGAGACCGGTTCTCATGTATGTGTTTTCTCCCCTTTATTTTGAGGTTTTTTTCCCCAAAAATTTTACTTCTCTGAAGAGGCTTTCTAGATAAAGTTACAGGGTTTATATGTTTGCAAATGTTTAAATTCCAAATTTCATATTGAGAGCCACAATAAGTTGGAAGGAAGTAGAATTACAATGTAATTTCCGTGATCGTACTAATCAAGTGTTGTTTGTCAATATTTCTCAGGTAGCCACAAAACTGCTGCAGCAAGAGAGGTGATGTTGCAAAAACAAGTGTTAATTGAAGCCTTGTCCACCAGCGCCAAATTTCATTTCAGTACATACTTCTTCCTTAGCTGAATTACAGTTGCTGTTTTTCATCATGTGTAGCTTTCTATTCCTACATAGATGATGTTTTTTCTACACTTGATTGTAACTGGAGCAGTGATACAGTTTTCTGTGACTATTCCTTGATACATTTCCATTATGCTCTGAAAAAATGCAAGTGCCAAAATGGCAGGTCAGGGAATACGGGATGGTACTCAAATTTGATGTAGTCAACCGTTCTGTTGAGTTATTGAAAAAAAGGGTACGAAAACATTCTCCTTGTCCTCTCCTTGTCCAATTAACAATGATGTAGGAATTTGTCATAGTAAACAATTGCTGGAAAGGTTTCTTGGATGGAGTTCATGTGAGAAAGATGCAAGATCAGGCAGCAGCACTTACTGATCAGAGTCGGAACTTCAATTAGCTTCTGCTTGTTAATGAGGAGAATGGGAAGGAGAACCACAGCTGATGACAACATTGATTGTAACATTGATTTATTACTGAAAAGAGCACCAAGAAACCTTAAACGATCAATATCAATATAGTTGCTGGCCAAGAATAGGTTTCTGGGCCAAAAACTTGCATTACATGTTCCAAAATACTCTAATTGGATGACAAATTTTGTGACAATGTGAGCGTCTAAATTTTTCTTTTCTTTTTTTTTTCTGCGTCTTAGTTAACAGTATGTTGGATCATCACTCTCTATATCGAGTAATGAGGTGGCAATATTTTAATGAATAAATACTAACATTTCTTTAATGTAACTTTTAGTGATACAGTTTTTTGTGACTATTCCTTGATTACCAACAAAAATGTTTTGGGGTATTATGCCAAAATTTTTGGTTTAATGTTTAACATTTATATTCACTTTAGGATGCGTAAAATCAGATGGCTGCTTGTAATTTGGACCCAGCCCACAAAAGAAAAGAAGGTTTGCTTGTGTTTTAGTTTTTCCATGTCCTTTTTTTTTTTTTTACTCTTATAGATTTGATGACTTGGTAAAAATAACAAAAGTCAACAACAATTTGTCTACCAATAGACATAAAAATTACAGAAAACCCTACTTATCAAGTAAAATGACTGCGTCAAAATGGCACAAATTGGAATCATACTTAATTAAGTGAAATATTCAAACTTGGTAGATATTAGGGATATCCCAAGTACTGAAGGCGTGGTCATAACCTCTGGGTTCTTATGTTGTAAGGATACGCCTTTGGTGAGACAGCATTACTAAGCCTCTCACTAAATGGCTTTTCTTATGGCTAGTTTGGGACTTTGGAGGACTGATGCCTTTCTTTCAATTGGGAGCTCAGTAAAATGAGGTAATTTGGAATGATTGTAGTGTTACATGTAAAATTACACCATAAAAGAGTAAGAAAAATAATTAAATCCTTTATCCTACTTTATATGTCAATTTCTATTTTATTCTCTATTTTTTTCCACATAACTTGTGAATACACGGCATGGTTTATTCACATATTAAGTACAAAGTGTCGCATGTAAAGTTATACGACAAAATAATTAGATGTGCATTGTGATAGAATGTGAGATGATAAGTCTAGAATCCAAACTACTCTCTAAATCCTAAAGAGAAAAACTAAGAATGCAAATAAGTAAAACGTCATCATATTTTTTTGTCTTGTATTACCAAATAAGGCAAAGAGGTCATGCACTAAAAATTGGTTTTTCCTTTTCCTCTAAACAGAGTAAGCTTATGTATCATATTATTGCAGTCCAATCCCCTGAACAAATGCACCCTGGGTGTAGAGCGGCTGGCCGAGGGATGTCCTCTTTAGGACCTTTAGTCGCGTGGTCGACTCTCACTTTGTTAACAATCGGATAACCCACTGAAGGAAAAAAAAAAATCCTCTGAACAAAAATGGTTTAACAAATAATTTTTCTTAATCATATTATTGCAGTCCAATCCCCTGAAAGTTATTGGCATGATATAGATGACTGGGCATCCCAAAGCTGACAAGAATTAAATTTATCCAGTTTCCAAATTAAATTGTGCATTTTTTTAAACAAAATAAGCTTCCATTTTCCATTATGCTCTGAAAAATGCAAGTGCCAAAATGCTCTGAATATGGAATAGCACTCAAATTTGATGTAGTCAACCAATCTGCTAGGTTATTTAAAAAAGGGTACGAAGACTGGTAACATCCTCCTCCTCTCCTTGTCCAATTAACAATGACGTAGGAATATGTTATAGTAAACAATTCGATTGAGGGGTGTAGTTTGCTGCAAATTTGCACCTAATTCGAGAATTGTTTGCTCTGTTCTTGACAGATGAAAATATGTGTTGGAAGGCCATAAATATGATGCCGCAGAAAGGGCTGTAGAGCTATCGGTGAATCCAGGGACAAGTTACTTCTGAAGGCATTGAGTAGCCGAGCATCTGACATAAAGGAGACAGTGGAGAGAGCCGAACTATACAGGCGAAAGAATAGGAAAACAGAGGTTAAACATTGGCTGGAGAATTTAGAGAATGAATTCATTGCGTTGCAAAGAAGGGTATTATTTAGAGAGGCATTGGAAACGTTTCTTGGTTGGAGTTCATGTGAAGAGTATTATACAAAAAGACCCCTTCTAATTGTTTATTTTGTCTATTGGTATCCACTACAATAAAATCAGAATAATTATATTATGGTCTCTGCTACATAAAGTTGAAAAACTGAAATAGCCTCCCAAAAAAATGAGATTTTGACCATAAGGGATTATCTGAATAATATCACTTCTTTGGCGTTTTATTCTTCTAATAAATATCCCTATTTTTTAAAATTTTTTAAAATATCTCAAAATATATTCTAGAAACTTTTCTACTCTTAAATATCTCAAAAACTTTTCTAAAAATATCCCAAAATATAATCTAAAAACTCTGCTACAGCAAAATTTTTTAAAAACAGCTAATCCAAACGGATGTATTGAGTTTGGACTCGTAGTCAATGGATTATCTTTTTTACTTGTTTATTTTTAATTACAATTGTTACCAAACTAAAAGTGGGTGTATGTATATATTTACTTCTCACAAATTAACGTGTATAGAAATAAGATTTTTCTACACCCAGCAGATTTTTTTTTTTTTTTTGGCCAACGAAGGCCTGTTTACAATTTAGTGGGGTAATAATAAATTTTTAGAAAAGCACCCCGGCATAAATTGACAAATTTCTTTGGCGAGTGGGGCACGTACTTCTCTGGAGGTTTCCTCCTTTCCCGCGCAACGTAAATTAGAATATTAAGCTCTTTATTTCTTCTACCTTTGCCTTCCCCGTTTCTTTCTTTCGTCGAAACAACCAAAAGGGGAAAGAGACGCATTATCAAATATCATCAGACTCCATGTTATGGCCAGCTCACCAAATTTTTTGTTTCATAAAAAAGAAGGGAAAATTCAGCACGGGATTGGAGAAAAGAGATGCAGAAAGATTCTTTGTTTAAAGAATTATGTGATTTGTTTGTGAACAATTCTGTGATTATTTTCTCTTAACAAGAAATATCTTTAGTTTTTCTTTGTTTGTACGCAGTCATATGTCACGCTTACGCCAAAAGCAACCATTGTCTGATCACAATTATACCTGGCAATTGGGTCGGTTAATATTGGGTTTTTACTTAAATGGGTTATACCCAACCCGTTCAACTTTAGATTGGGTTGATTTTGGATTGGGTCATAGTGGGTTATCTTAAACCCATTACCCAAATATGACCCAACATATTAATTAATACATTTTAATACATCAACTTTTTCACATACATTTTAACATACAAAAAAGATTTTTTTCACACATATAAACACATTTTCACATACATAATTGTGTTTTCACACACACAAACACACACTCACTTCTTAAGTTACTTGAAAACACATCATAAATAGAATAATATTTTATATTGCTTGTATTATGAATTTTAGATAATAAATTGTACATTTAAATAGATTAGCTAAAAAAATTGTTTAATTTATACTTTTTAATACTACTAATTGATTGAAACTTATTTTTGTCACAACTTATTAACACTTTTACTATTTATATCTGCTTTATTGCAAATTGTAATATTCTATGTATTTAAATTATTGAATGCTAGATTATATTATACTTGAAAATGTAAGTAAGAGGCATATAATTTGTTGTGTATTAATATTGAAATTATAGAAAATAAGTTTGTACTTTAGTCCTTATATTCTCAAAAATTTTAAATGTGTTAATAAGTTCCACATTTAAAACCCAAAGATACAGAAACCACAATTAATTGGCTGCTGTCCAATGCTAAATTGGTCAACAGTAGTTACATATTTTAAGACAAGAAGAATGCCATATGCTTAGTCTAACTATTATGTAGGAGTATTCTATTTGAAGTCTGCCATCCCAAAATCTTTAATGACTAATTGCACAGATAATTAAAGCAAAAACTATGACAGAATTCAATGAAACAATAGTCAAATTCACTTCATTACTAACTTGATCCAATGAAATTAAAGATTTTTTACGGTCATGGTTGGACATATATTTCAATTGTCTCTCATAAGTCTTGCTCATCAACCAAAGAGTTACTTTCTTGTGAATATGGCAAATATACCTAGTTATCAATAAAAAAATGTCATTTCGAATTGTTTTTCTTAGTTTCTTTCTGCAGATATTCATCTAATGTCTTGACAAAAAGTAACACGCATGTATCTGAGCGAAGGAAGCCGAGACTGTTTTATAGTTTAAATCATAGCCGCCAGTAGTCAAACGATGAATTCAATTGCCTCATGCAAATTGATTTTTCAAATTTTGAATTGAGTTTTTATTTCAAATTTCTTTTTCTTTTAAATAAAAATTAAAAAATTGATTGAAAATATATATATGAGAATTGTGAATACAAATTAATCAATACATTATTAAAATATGTCCAAATACAAATAGTTGAGCATATATGTATTGAATTTTATATTTATTATTTTGAATTACTTTTAAACAAGTTGGGTATTGAGTACCCAAATAAAAAACCCAACCCGCCCAATGAATAAGTTGGGTTGCTCTTACCCAACCCAACAAAACCCATAATCCACTTGAGCCAACCCATCCTTTAAAATTAATGGGCAGATTGGACGGGTTGTTGGGTTTTGAATTTTTTTGCCAGCTCTAATTACAATCAAGTCTCAAAATATACGAAAATGCTCAAAACATTACGTGAAATATATTTCTAAGGGGGGTTAATCTATGACAGCAGATGGCATGTAGTAGTAGTATAATTAAAACCAATGAATATTTAATATACTTTCTCTTTTCTAAGTTTAATATGCTTTTTAGTTCATAATTTACTCAAATTATAAAGTGAAAATAGTTTTCTCTATTTGAATTTAGAGACTTTACAAGAATAAACTTCCAAAACAAACTTTTAGTATATCAAAATTCTTGTAAATGGTAGCAATTATGAATCTGAATTGTTTGGAGGTCATTATTCAGCATGAAGGCGGCTGGAAGGTGAAGCAGAGCATTAGTTGGCTTAATGTGGGAGATGACTCTGCCACCTTTTTTTGCGTGTTTGATGACCACAAAGCTTATACCATCTTTTGCTAGTTACGCAACTTTTACATTGACTGACTTTAGCAAGTCATGAATACTATTGCAATAAATTCATATCCCCGTCTGAGAGCGCCAGAATAGTTGGCCACCACAGATATTTTTAGAGTGGAAGATTAAGAGTTCAAATAGGCGTGTTATTCAGATAATAACAATACAATAACATTTCTTGTGAATTGTGACAATAGTCCTCAACCATTAAAAGGAAATGGTAACGCTCCAATAGGTTGCAGTACCCAACGTGATTGCAGTCCAATCGCATAAGCATTGGGATGTTATAGATGAATGGACATCCCAAAGCTGATACCAATTCAATTGATTAGTGTTTTCAGTTTAATTGTGAATTGGTGATCAAAAGAAGCCTTCATTTGCATTATGCTCTGAAGACGGGACTGTTTTTTAAAAACTAGTTTTTAAATATAATAAAATTTTTAAAAAATACTCTAAAAGGTAATCTAAAAATTAGTTTAAATTTTTTTAAAATTTTTAAAAATATCTCAAAATATATTCTAAAAACTCTTCTACTCTTAAATATCCCAAAATATTTTCTGAAAATATCCCAAAAATATAATCTAAAAACTCTGCTATAGTAAAGTTTTTCAAAAATATTCCCAAAAATAGCTAATCCAAACAGAGTCACTATAGATGAGGAAAGTGGAACTAGTGATCAATTTTTGATACAGCAACCATTTTCCTGGGAGTTTCCTTTAGTCGCTGTTGACTTGTTGTCAACGGCCAAGTCATTTTTCCAAAAGAAATTCATCGAAAGGCGCCTTACTTGGTTGCTATTTTTCTCAAAAAAAATTTATGTTTTTTTATAAACATATTTATTAAATATCTTTTAAGTTTACATATATCAAATTCTTACAATATATTTTTTTACAAAAATTTTGAAAATGACAATCCAAATTTTATATTTTCCCAAGAACTTGGTGTAGGTGAGGTGAGGAAATTTTAATCGTATGAAGTCCATACCATAAAAGAGTATTGGAACTTTAATTGAAAAAAATTCAAGGCAAGTCCATGTCTTTTATTTGCTCAAGTAAGAAAATTTTGCAGATCAATTTTAGACTAGACAAAAGGAGGAACTCATTTGTCTAGTACAGGTAATTTTGCAGCAAGTTGACATCAATCTAGAATACTAAACCCTATGTGTTTGGATTGCCATTTTTCAAAGAAAAATTGTTATATTTTTTATGAACATATTTTTAAATTATTTTTTATTTCACATATATAAAATAATTATAATAATAACTTTTTATAAAAAAAAAAAGTCTTAGAAATTCTAGAAGATAGCAGATAGCAAGGCCTTTCTCCACAATATCTAGAAGATGGCCCCGGCCCTCCACCCTTATCATTTTGTCCATTTTCCCCCCCTTTTTCAAGTCTTAGAAATTCTTCCCCTTAGACCTTAGTCACCAAAGTGTTGCCGCACCATTTCCTGGAAATGTCTCCCCTGCTTCCTTAAGGAGCTTTCGTTGAGTCATCAAAATGGCCATATGGCATGGCATGATGTCGTCAAAATAATTTGGGAAAATTAAAAGAAAAAAAGATTAGATAAACAATCTGTAAGGAGTTTGTAAATTTTACAAGATTTGTAACTGGGGCATGGATTATTACTCACGAATTAAAGCAACTACGTAATGATTTTATTGCTAAATGACTGAATTACCCTCTTAACAATGTGCACCTTGTTGAATAGAAACATGCACATTAATGAATAATAATGTGTGTTTTGATAAATATAAGTATTTATTCAAATGCACACATATGATATATATGCACATACAAGTGTACTTATGTGCACATAAGGATTAATTTGTAAATTTATCATGAAACCAAAATTTTTAATATAATATATACCATTTACAAATTTCCTAAAACTTACCCCCTACAAATTGGATGATAATCGAGGTATTTAATCAAGTACAATTCCACTAGCCTTTCTCTGGACACTCCCGGAACTTCCTTCACGAGGGCCCGTTACCATGAACCCGTAAGGCCATTGGTGGTCTGCTCTGCTGTTAGTTCAACTTTTACCATCCGTTCCTCAACACTCAACAATCATAAGACATAATCTTGGCAGAGTCTCAAGGTTTTCAGCTTCCTCAAGTTTTCTAGTCAGTTTCAGGTATAATGAGATCATATCCATCGGAATTTAGTAACTGTTGATTCAATTATAATTTATTCATCAAAACTCAACTATCATAGTTCTTGTAGTAGCAAAACCGAGATCAAAATATAATACTAACTTTTTGTCGTTTGGCAGAGTTTAAGAGTTCTCAGCTTCTTCAAGTCTTCAAGATAACTTGTCCTAATTTCAAGGTGCAATGATATCACACTTGATCTTTTTTTGGAAAAATATCACACTTGATCTTGAATTTGTAAATATTTGTAGTTGTTTCTCATTTTATAATATTATGTTTAGCTTTGTGAGGCCCAAACATCTTGGTCACTTGTTCTTCTTTCAATACATGGAGTGCTCTGTTCAAGTTTTCTACATAATTCACACATTTCTTAGCAAGAATTTCCAGCAGAGGGCAGAATGAGATGATCCCAACCTGGACCTAACTAATCACAACAAAACTAGACCCAGACACAGGATGGATCCATAGGAATAAATTGATATTCAAATGGGTCAACCCTATCGAGTGTGGGAACATATACGGATCTTGGCCTTAGTCTTATAACTAAGAAGCTTTTATGGAAAATCTTAAATTTTTATAAAAGTTTTCTTACATCAAACGGATATCAATTTTTTTGTTATCAAAAAAAGATGCATATCAGTTTCATTTACTAAAATGCTTAATTGAATCAGCATAATTGGACAACTTCATGTTTATACGGTCTTCTTTCTACCAAATTAAATGTTTTAGAGCACGTTATGAGTTTATGTACGTATGAGATGAGGAGAGTAGCCTAGTGTAGTGCTGTAGCATCCTTCCTTTGAATTTTTTCTTTCAAAAAAGCAAAAGAAAAAAAAAGGAAAAATTGTTGACATATTTTTATCTAGGTAGGGTGTTTTGAGACATTTTCTTCTTCTTCTTCTTCTTTTCGGAATTAAATATTACATGAGGAGAGAGTTTCTACTAACTCAATAGCAGCACAGACAAATGAGAATTCGTAGGGTAATGTATAGAAGTGTTCGGTGAAATTAATGAAACACCAAAATTTGTGGGTTTAGATATTCTATGATCAATTCAGTGCTTCAAAAAATTGTTTTTCTTCTAATTTTTTCAAAATCAATCTTCGAAAGTTTTTGTCATTTCTTCAAATATTGAATGAAGTATTCAGTCAGAAGAATTCTAGATTAGCTAATAGCTGAACAATTATTGAATTGAGTGAAAAATATTTTCTTTTTCTGGTTATTAATCTTTACTAAACTATGTGTTGACTAAGTTCCGCTGGCAACTTTTGATGTTTCTCTTCAATTTTAATTTTCGGATTTGCTTCAATTTGCTTTATGCACCTAAGCTTGATATATATTTAAATTCTAGATGCTACCATTTTGGGGAAAAGCTCTGGCAGAAAAGACGGGGGAAAAGGTGATAGAAAAGACGGTAGAGTTCGCATTAGAAAATTGCACGGGAAGGAGTCACATGGACAACGTGCAATCGCTAAAAAGGAATTGGCAAGAATTGAGTTGCAAAGCATTTGACGTAGAACAAGAAGTCAATAGGGAAGAAATGTCAGGTAAAAAGAAAAGGAAAAGTGAAGTTGACAATTGGTTGAAGGACGTTAAAAAGTTAAGTCCTGAAATTGATGCATTGGAAACAAGAGGATCATCTTTGAGGCTTCCACTAAAGGAGGATCCTGTAGGAAAGCTGCAATTTCAGGTGAAAGACCTTGTTGATCAGAGCCGTCATTTCGATGGGCTTGTGCTCGATACTTGTGACAACATCGGAGAGCCATGCCTGCCAACCAAATTGTTTGGAGTAAAGTTCGATGAAGCTTTGAAGAGAATTTGGCCATGCTTGGTGACCGATGATATATCAAGCATTGGGATTTATGGTATGGGTGGAGTTGGCAAGACCACACTGGCGAGGCACATTGAGTACCATCTTTTAGAAAAGAACAATTATCGGGTGCTTTGGGTTACAGTATCTCAAGACTTCAGTGTCACCAGCTTGCAGGATAAGATTGCCAATGTCTTGGACATTAATCTATCCAGTAGGGACGAGGAAGACGCCAGGGCAAGAATATTGCGTGACGCATTCAGGAAAATGCTGAAATTAATAGTACTCATATTGGATGATGTTTGGGAAGAATTTTGTTTAGACAGGGTAGGGATTCCACTTCATCCAAACAAGTGCAGATTGATTTTGACTACACGCTCACTGGAAGTGTGCAACAGGATACAATGTCAAAGAAAGTTTGCTTTGCAAACTCTGGACACAGGCGAAGCTTGGGATTTGTTCAAGTATAAACTTGGCAGCGAGCCCTTGCTTCAAGGAGATTTGGAAAGTATTGCCAAGTCCATTGTGGAAGAGTGTGATGGTTTGCCTCTTGGCATTATCACAGTGGCTGGAAGCATGAGAGGTGTGAGAGACATTTGTGAGTGGAGAAATGCATTGGAACAATTGAAAACATGTTCAATAGGGTATCATGAGATGGAACGAGATGTGTTTCGCATCCTGGAATGGAGTTTCAATCGCTTGAATGAATGCCAAAGGAATTGCTTCTTGTATTGCTCTCTTTACCCGGAAGATAGTAAATTAAAAATAAAGGAACTAATAGACCTCTTTATTTGGGCAGAGCTGATGCAAGAACGGAACTCATGGTCACAAGAATTTGATCAAGGTCACACGATATTAAACAAACTGATAAAAGTTTGCTTGCTAGAAGAAACTAGAGATTATGAAGGGGATGACTGTGTGAAGATGCATGATTTGGTCAGAGATATGGCATTAAGAATCACGGACGGAAAATCCAACCTACAGATGAACGGGGATGTACCACGGTTCTTGGTGAAAAGCATAGGAAAGGGAAATTCTAAAGTAACACTGGAACCAAAAAAATGGACAGAAGATCTCCATGCAGTCTCCTTTCATTCATTTTCATATCCACAACTAGAAATAAAAGTTCCGCCAGCCTGGTCACCAAATTGTCCTAAGCTCTCAACCTTGCTTCTTTCTGATGTTTCCATAGAAGAAATCCCAGATTCATTCTTTCGGCACATGTGTGGACTTAAAGTTTTGAATCTATCTCGGTGCGAAGGTATAACAGAGCTGCCTAATTCTGTTTCAGACTTGGTGAATCTCACTGCTTTGATTTTGAAGGATTGTAGACGCCTCCGATCTGTGCCACCACTGGGAAAGCTCAAGCAATTGAGGGATTTGGACTTATCAGACACTAAGATTGAGGATTTACCTGAGGGTTGGGAGTCACTGGTCAATCTTGAAAGACTTGACTTGAACCAGTGTCCAAATTTAAAGAGGCTGCCTCTGTTTCTTTCCACCATCAACGGGTCACCATCTCTTCCCAGCACTCTTCATAAAATCAGGGGAGATAAAGAATGGTGGGAATCATTAGAGTGGGACAATCCTAGTGCCAAAAATGCCCTTGACCCATTGTTTTCCACGCTGTGGTGGGATAATTGGAGACCACTTGTTTGATCAAAATCCTGACTGGTTCTCATGTACGTGTTTTCTCCCCTTTCTTTGAGGTTTCTCCCCCCCCCCCCCCCCAAAAAATGATCTACTTCTCCACTAGCATAGAATTTGCTATTGTGCTCAAGGTTTTTTTTTTTTTTTTTTAACTATCTTGAGGTGCAGAACTGCTAACACCTTTTGAGTTGTTCTGATGGGAAAATAGATTTAAGTACATTAGTTTCTCTTTCTTTCTTATTTATTTTTGAGTTCAACGTCGTTCTAATTTCTTTATGAGCTCTCTGTTTTCTCCTATTTCTAGTGAGGCTCAAGTTTTCTTCTGCTGACAACCTTCCCCATAGCGCTGAACTACGAACTGTACCATTTCTTATATTCATCCATACAATCTGCTGCATATAACTATTTAATATTTTTTAATTTTTTCTTATTTCTATAAATTTAAATATTTTATTTTCTATCTCTTTCCTCCTCCTTGTTTGTTTCTGAATTTAGTGTCTTTATTAATTTCTTCCATAAATGAGCTGATCTCTATGTTTTTTTTTTTTTTTTTCATTTTTTCATTTCTTGCTGTTGAAAGTTGTCTTGTTTTCCCCTTCTCTGAAGATGCTTTCTACGTATGTTACAGGGTGTACATGTTTGCAAATGTTTAAATTCCAAATTTCATATTGAGAGCCACGATAAGTTGGAAGGAAGGAAGTAGAATAACAATGTAATTTCCATGATCGTAGTTGCGTTAGTATCATGGATGAGTTTGCTTTTTGTTTCTAACTATACTAATCAAGTGCTGCAAGAAAGGTGATGTTGCAAAAACAAGTGTTAATTGAAGGCTTGCCCACCAACGCCAAATTTCATTTCAGTACAGTTGCTGTTTTTCCTAAACTTGATTGTAACTGGAGCAGTGATAACAGTTTTTTGTGACTATTCCTTGATTATCGACAAAACTGGTTGGGGTAATATGACAAAATTTTTGGTCATATTTGACAGGTCGTCAGCCTGTGCAATAATAATAATAAATATAGAACCTAGATACCACTAAAAGCAGTCAATAATCAATCCTAGGTACTGGAGCAGGGACTCTAGGTGTGCAATGGGTTACTTGATTCACCCTGTTCCCGAAGAGTTTGCTTAACCCGATATACCAGAATTAATTAATAGACAAAAATTACTAAATAGTAGACAGTGGCAAGTAGGGTCGTCTCCTCAGGGACTGGGGATATATGTCTCTTTAAAAAGTCCAATTGATAAGGGGGGATTTCACTGGAATGAAACTAAAAATGATTAAACAATTTAATTAAAAATAAATGAATCACTAGCACAAGTAAAACAGGAATTAAATCAAGAATAAATAAATTCTAGCCAAGGATACAACTACTCAGGCACAGTCCAATCATCCAATCATTGATGCAAGAGAGGTTCGCTTAATGTATTAATAGGCTAGTTATAGTCTGACGACCAATTTTTCCTTAAATTATAGATGACCAATGTACGACCATTAATCACCTCTAACCAGAAAAGTACTCCTAGGTACGACCGTAGGAATTAATTTTCCAATTGCATTAATAACTAGAAAAACCTAGCCCTAACCAATAACACGCTACGAGGGTTATTTAAATTAGATTGCACGTTCCCCTAATGTGTAAACACACCAGTTGCCACTAACTTTAATCAATCAAACAATTACGGATTTAATTGACTAAATTGGCATGAGATTAATAAATCACATTGAACATCGGGCCCTTGACATCCAATTAATAAAATAATCCCATGAAAATTCAAGCAGATAACGTGCAAATATTAATAAATAAAGGAACACGTGAAAACTAATTAGATCTCACAGATTTTCGGGACTGCGCCGTCGAGTTGACTCTTGACTAGATGGAAGATTTAGCCACGCCGCATAATTAAATCACCACACGAATTAATGGATTGCAAAGGCATAGCGTTTTCTATTAAGAAACAAGGAATAAAAGGTGTTTTTCCCGTTGGGGAATTTTGTCGAACACCTGGCGTGTGTCAGAGGCCAGTCAAAAGAAGGAAAAAGTAAAGCTACACTAAAAGAAAAACTAGAGATGTCCCTACTACTCTACGTTATCCCTATTTAAGCAACAAAAGAAAGATGACTAAAGCCTATCTAGGTGGTCCCCACACATGTGGACAAAGCCTTCAAAGTACTTCTTGCCCCAAGTCTCTTTCCGTAGCTTTCTTTTAAGAGCCCAAATGACTAGATGGTTTCCACTAGCTTGTGGTCCCCCACCAATTCAAGGGCCCAAGAATTAAAGCCCTTAGAAGTCTCCCTATTTTCCATAAAGTCCTTCCTTTTTGATGGTTTTCTGCTTCATTCCTGAAATTAAGTCCAGATACCAAATATGAGTAAATATCAGCAATTAACACAATATTTATCAGGGATAAAAGGGAAATCAATAATAAAATTACTAACAAATTGTACCCTATCAATTCCCCCCACACCTGAATCATGCTTGCCCTCAAGCATGGGGACAACCCAACTCAATAATGGCTAGCTTTCACATTATCATTGCCAGCAGTGCTTATACCCAAATCAAGATTTAGCGGCTAAATGTCAAGTCATATCTCACTCGGTTAGCTTCTAAGTTCATAGACCTGTCCAATTCATGGCTAATTCGCTTAGGAAATCCAAATACTAACTAGCAATAGTCAGTAATTAAGTCAACTGGCAACCAAAATCTCAACAATACGACCCAAGGATCGGCAGGCTAACATGATCATAAACTCACATATTCTGCACTTCTGATTTCCTTTTTTTTTTCTGTTTTTTTGGATTGCAAGAATAATGCTTAGTCCCGAGCTATTCAAGTCTTTTGACGTGAACGCTGACATTTTTAGATGAAAGAGCCCAGTTACTCGACCTTTCATAGCTCCAGGACTTTTTTACTCATAGATATCGCTACTTTTTGACGCGAGAGCCGACACTTGTGGTGAAGGCTCCCGGTTACTAGGTAGCGACACTAGCGGAGTACAGCCATATGTTATTCACCATAAAACACCAAAACACCAAGTAATTACAGATCATAGCCCGCGTCATGTCCTAAATATGGAGAACTAAGGTAAACAGGAGACCAAACTACACAACAATGCCGGTAAAATATTTATATTGCCTAAACAAGTTAGCCATAAATTGCACCAAGTCGTTAATACTCAAAATATTCACCAAAAAAGCATGCTTTTACTTGCCACTGCAACTCAACTCATAGTACAAACCACCATTAACAAGAAAAAAAGTGAGCTGCCAAAAATATTCACCAAGATAGAAGCAAGGGAAAGACACTCAAAAGGGATAAAGGAGCAACACCTAAACAGAAAACAAGAGGAAAAATAATAAAGAAACGAGAACTAGCACCCAAACTGAGACCCCCCCCACACCTAAACGACACATTGCCCCCAATGTGAAAATATAATAGCAGGAAAACGGAGAGGGGCAACGGTACTTCCCTGAAATCGTCAAGACAAGGGTGGATTAGGCGGAAACCGAGGTGGGAACCCGGCTTGCTGCATAAATGCCGCTAGATTCTGCGCCATATTGTGAATGTTAACGCCCATGTGTTTCTGCCGAATCTCAAGCCGCTCGACTGTGTTGCGTAGCTGGTTCCATTCCTCATCCGTATGGCCTGAATCGGGGGGCACGGAGGAAGAAGGACCGGGATCACCGTCCTCAGTGGAAGCTCGGGCAGAAGATGACCGAGGGGGGTTCTAGAGGCCCCGGGGGGACAACCCCCCAACCATTGTCGCCCTCCCGAACTAAGCCCATTTTCTCCAAGCTTGGAATATCCAAAGGCTCCATTTGACAGGCAATATGCAAGTTGTGGTTAGAAATATCAAGGACATGCAAATTAATAGCCAAGTGAGTAATGTAAGACCCAAGAATCAAGGGGCGTTTCTTCTTAGGCAAAATGGACTTGAATTGAGACGCGAGCCAACACCCAAGATTAACCTTAATATTGTTTTGCATGCACCATATAAAGAAAAACTCCGGCTTAGACAAAACGCCCGAACTATCTCGCCTACCCGAGAAACTGTAAGCCAAAAAACGGTGGATATAGCGAGAGGCCGGGTCCTTCAGATAGGACCCCTTTGATAGACGAGGGTCATAGTTTTTTCTGTCTACAGACATATCATCCCAAAGAAAGCGATAGCGAGAGAAAAACGGCTGGACATAGTCACATGCACTCTCGGCATACTCCCTAAACTCAGCATAAGCGGGTTCAATGAAACCAAAGGCCAGATTGAAGTCGGTTATGGAATGGTGGAATTCCTGGCCCATTAAACGGAAGCGGATGACATCAGGGGTGGAAACTGTGTAACCAGTGGGAAGGTCGAATTCAAATGTGGCATAGAATTCCCTAACTAACTCAACAAAGGCTGGGAGGTCAGTTATACGAGAATAGGGGCGCCACCCGATTGCTTCAATCAAATCGTGAAAGGGGACGCTAATATTTAGAAGGCCCAAGGTGGCGGGGTCCCGATAACGACAAGGAATAATCCGTCGTTCACAAGCCGCTTCATAGCGCCGCTTGTCGGCTGCTCGGGTGAAGTCCAAATGACCCCCAAAATGTGCAGGGTCAGAGATATGGACGCCTCTTTGTCGCCCAAGACGAGCCCGCCTCCCAGAGGAGGAAGGATCATGCGAGGGGTCAGAGGCGGGAATGGAATGCTGGGGTGGAGGGGGCTGAGGGGTCCTAGGGGGCCTAGACTTAGAAGAAGATCGAGGCTTCACCATGGTGACCAACAGGCAAACCCAAAATAACCAAGTAGCAATATAAGTGTCACGGGCGCCCCCAAAGTCAAGTATAAGCGTCACGGGCGCCCCCAAATTCAACCAGCAATCTCAACAATAAATGGTGAGAATTTAGAGACAGTTCAGCACAGAGAATGAAGAAATGGAAAGCAATACTGCCACCAGTACCACTGGTGCACAGACAGGAAAGCAATGCAAGCACCTTTAGGCTATAACAATCCTCACAAGATAGCAAATGCAAATAATAAAGAGCAACAGTCCCAATAGAATTCAATATAAGAGCAAAACAGCCCAAACGTGCAATACTACTCCAAATAATCCAAGTAGGTTAATTGGGCACAATCAATCCGCAATTAGCAAAGGAAGGGACACAATAGCCCTCCAATTCAACAAAATAACACAATGACACAACTCCACCAATCAAAATAAATGGAATTGGACAGTCAATTGCACTACTCCACCAACCAAAAGTTCTCGCAACAGCAGATTAGAATTCGAGCAACAACTCAATCACAAAAACATGAACGTTCAAACAAGCAGGCATCTGACCAAATATAAGCAACAAATACGGTCAAAAGCCCCCCAACCAGTACCACTGGTTATCACACAAGGAAGACTTGAATCAGACGACCAACCAAAACCACCAAGAAATCCAAACAATCACTAAACAGCCCCCGAAATTAGAAATTGACAAAAGTATCTCCCTTATGCATAACCGTAGACAGCGGGACAGTGCTGGGGCGCAATGGAGCGGCTGGCGGCTGGCGGCGGCTCTGGTGGGGTGAACGAGGGAGGACAGGGCCGAGCTGGGAGTGGCGGGAGCGCTGGTGGAAAGCTTGGCGATTGTGCTGATGCGGTGGTGGAGAGAGCAGATCTGGCGGGGGGGAGGCGCGGCGAGC